GGCACGACCTTGTGGAACACTCTGTGACTACCCTATAAATACAGTTGTAATAATTTTCCTTTGTCTCCATAAAGGGCTGTGTAGAGCTGCCTTGCCTTTTGATATACCATAGTGGGCGGAGCAGGAAACCAAGGGACCGATACAGAGTTGCACGACCGTCCAGCAAGTCACAACATGTGGGGTGGCCTGAGCTATGCATGGGAAACAATGCATCTTCTTGGATGAAGCCGGTTTTCCAACTGTGTATCATCATAACTCGAAAATGATTTTGAACCTCATATCTATAAACGAGACAGCTAAAACATTTGCAAACAGAGGAATACAGGAGCACGTAAAGGATACATCAACAGCGGCAACCATACTACGGCACATTTCTCGGTTGAATCCCTCAAATCCTGGCATATCTGAAATTCAGAAACATTTGTTTAACAACTATTTTGGTCAAACAGCTCATAAACTCATTTGGGCCGAAAGGAATTAACCAAAATTAGCTGAATTTGAAAATATACATGATGATGAAATGTACCTTGCAGACTGCTCCCGTTGAGCAACTTTTGTAGATCAGTTGCATTAATGGACGCTGTCTTCTTATCACACAGTTGTTCAAATTTCTCCTTAATTTCCTCGTCTTCTTGCTGAAATTACCAAAAAAGCGCCCAGCTCTTTAATGTTTTAATCAAACAGTATTTTCTAGATTGTACGAACGAATTGCTGCATCTGCTCGAATTCAACGAAAAAACTTAATGTACTAAAAAACTGGTCAACCAAAAATATCACTGAATATCCCATGATTGGTTGCGTTTTGCGCATCCAGTTTTGGTGTTGGAGAAGAAACAAGTCAAGAGAAGCCACTGGTTATTGACAGATGCTTCCACGGTTGCAGAACTTGTAGATTCAATAAATTTTCGAGCTACACAATTACAGAGGCGAAAATATACTAATATTGATATGAATACTAGCACAGGATTGAACGTCCGTGTCAGGTTCACACTAACAGGAACACTTTGGAATTTAGACAGTGTAGAAGAAATAGTGGTTGAATTTGTGGATCAGCCCGACCACGGAGGCCGAATTATGTGAGTAATGCTATTTGTTGGCACAAGACACGGTTTTGCAGTCTGATGGCCGCAACGAAAGTATGAGATCATGTATATTTGGGTTAGCATGACTTTATTCTTTAGATGAAACGGAAAGTTTCGGTGCGAGTCTACTTCGTGGTGTGTGTCGATCACTGATCGATTGCAATGCTTGGTCACATCAATGTACCACTGGTAAGTACAGATTGCTAATGTCCCCTTGTTGGTTGGATGAGTTACCTTGTCGTGTTCTGCAACGCACATGTATGGCAATGAATACACTGGCACGTTTGGGTGTAGACGGGCGTTCTCACGTTAACGTATACCCATCGTCAAGTCGTAAACCATAGTTGAAGGGCGACGGCGGGGAGCATTGTGTTTGGAGATGCTGTGATGACGCCAGTCCGTTTGAAACTCGCCTCTGAGTATTGGTTCTCTGCTGTGATAAACTGAGGCTTTCATAATCACACATCTCCGGAAGAAATCATTAGAACTATATGTTCATCAATCCTTGTATCTTCAGTCACAGGTCTGATCAGTCAAACTGATCTCCATCTGATGGAGGCCAAAAGTCGTGACGATGTCAAATGTGTCATTTAGATTCACACGCAGTTGCAACCACCATTGTCATTCACCACATCGAATCAGTGCTCGCCAGTCCTTATGTCACAGTACCGAACGACTCATAAGACACAAGATGGTTATTCGCTTGACCGTCAAATTTCCGTACACAATCATCTGATTTGCGTGGCCCTCCTCATTTGATCAGTTTCAACATCACGTGTTTTGAAGGCTGTCTGTTCCGTAATGCTAAGTGTATCAATCAAGTTTTTGGTGAACTTGAACTCATCAGGCACCATCCCATCAGGAAAAGATTGCTGACTCGTGAATTACCGAGCAATCAATCGATTGAATGATAAGTGGAAAGATACATCTTTTAACATAGATATAAACCGTGTGTCGAGAGGATGATGAAGACTGGTTCTCTAGACAGCTAATGAGACTCAAGTTGACTATATGACATTCCAACGAATGCCTCAGGCAAACAGTGCATTACTGAGTGGAAGCAATCTTATGTCATTCTGTTCTATAACTGTGACTTTTCCCCTTATCGGACTAATTTTAGCGCCGTAAGTCAAGCCCCTGCTTGAAGTTTGTCTACGATTGAGCTTAGAGAAATAAGTGTTGGTGACCAGTCAAGTCATTCCACACGTGAATGGGCGATGCTCACTCATGACGGATGCGCAACCTTCTTGAATATGCACTGACTTGAAGCCTTGTTGAAATCTTCCTATCCTGACTCGCAAGCAGTACATCATCTGGAACAGGACGCTGCTGAACTGTGAGAAGAAGCTAAAAAGACTGGGAGATCATTCTGATGGAAGATTTCTTCATAACTCAAAGTTTTTTATGTCTTACGATGGAGGTAGGACTAGAAGACTCCCCGAAATAAATTAAATAGTTGCCCCTTACCAATGAGTGTGATCACTTTACAAGGGTTACTCTGTTCCTCAACGTCGCATTTCATCCATATGGTAATAGACGGCAGGGAGTTGTTGCCACCGGACAAGAAAAATGCCCGAACAAAGACATGTTCCTTGAAAGCAGCTGGATAATGTCAACTGAGTTTATCTTCTCTGTGGACGTTTTGTTTGCGGTCATCCAGTTAGCAATATGTTTGCATCGTACAGGTAAGTGCCACCCAATGACGCAAAGCAATTGTGAGAATATTGAAACTCATCTATATTCCATAAATGCATGTCTTATAGAACACATATCTGTCTTGTAGCTCAGAATAGAATATTATAGAGTGAGTTCTTGTGGGGAACATTCATCAGTAGCGTGACATAGAGCTTCAATCGGCCATACTGGAAAATCTCTACAGATGGGTGATGGAATTTGTACGTACGTGACATCTGCGGTCGTAAGATAGCAATAAAACTTTGAAGCAGTAATGAGGAAATTCAAGACTTACCAGGATTTCGTTCTCCAATCTCACAGCCTCCATGACATCCTGTGAAAAGTAATGGTCGAGTGAATGGTGTACAAAACAGGAAACAAACGTGTTCTTTTTGTTCCCTGACCATAATGAGTCAAATAGTCTTACGAATTTTTATGCACTGAGTAGTGTTCCTCTTCCAAGCTTATTTTCTTGTGGAGAATACAATCTGATCCATTTTTCGGTAATTGAGCTTGGTAACTGGCTTGCAAACTTTTCGTCACCATTCGAGAAGACATCATCAGTACGTACTGATGATGATGCGTACTGTACAGACCCGAGCCACCAATATGGCAACACAGTGTGTTACCATCTCGGAACCGTAGTGCGGTTCGCGACAGGCTTGGTGGAGAGTCGGTGAGGTGAGTGCTTGTTATAACAAACGGTTCAAGTGAGACTGGAAAAGCTTTGTTTCGAACTGTCTTAGGACTACTGAATTCCCAACGGAACAGAAGTAGCAACTTTGGTGTCGCCAACACGTTTCTCTTGGCAGCAACCGCCTAGTAACTTATATTCCGGGGAAGTTCGTATCTGTTACACTTCTGTGCATTTGAACCAAAGAAATTTCAGTTAACGTTGATTTACCCTGATTGGGAAACTATATTGAGGCATAGCTAATATGCAGCTATGCTGAAGCGGTCGAAACTAACACTAAAGCTAAACGGAATCAAGGCTCATCTCGGTTTCGCTTCGCACTTCGGCTTATACTGCTATTAAGCCTGATAGTAGTGTAGGAATTACACGATTGCACAGCCTACATACCTAACCAAGGAATCTTTTATGAAGCCCTTCAACAAGTTTGCTTCCTTTGTTGTTTAATGAGTTTCACTTACCTCTGGAATGTCCAAATTCACGTTGCCGTCATCAAGTTCTCTAAAAATTGTTGGAAGGTTATAATTAGATCAGGTGGATAGAACCGTCTTTCGACAATGGAGCAGAATACGCTTGTCATCAGTTGTGTTTTATAATCGTTGCTTAACTATCATGGGCTTACGATGGAATTTCGGAGAGAATGCCTCCTCAGAAGTCCGAATAACGATACGGAAAACATGCATTCAAACCGCTTAGTGCAACACACCTCACAGGCGGTAAAGCCAAGACTGAAACCACAATCAGCGAAACCGGCTTACATCAACTTGCCTTTCAGGAGTTATCCTGTTGTCGAAGTGATATCGCGGAGACTCTGGACAGGTACCTGAATTACCTACGCATCGGAACACCTACGGGTACTTTTCCAATCGAAACACCATCCTACTCAGGAAACCAATGGACAAATTGCTGCAGTCCGTAAACAGGCATTTGTGTATTCATTCGAATGTCTTTGCATGGTATCATACATTTGTTGTGAAACAAGGCGATTGCCTGCTAGAATCAGTGAACACTGCCCACTTTCGTCGACCAACACGATCCCAGTCCAAATGCTGTGCACGCAATCAGTTCTAATCATATTGTCTTTTCACGTTTCACGCTTTCACGGGATTGGGAATTTACGTGAACCAGATTACATGCTGTCGTCGAGGCAGTATCTGTGCGTAAACCTGCCTCTGTTCGAAAAACTAATTTGTATGAACACTCAAGCTCTACTGGCCGAGAAAATTCGCGGAACGGAACAGACGCATGGTTTCTCAAACCTCTGCTCTTTGGCCTTTGCCTGGTGCTTAATGAGCGACTCATTGTCAGCCGGAGGGCTTGTATTTTCCTCCATATCAGGTGACCTCGTTTGGTTATCGTGTTGCAAATTTTGGCTTCTGTTAGCCCACCCCATAACTTCAAGCAGCCCTGTAAATATCTTCGCAGCACTTAAACCTCGTCGAGAAAGATCAAGATGAGAAATCAGTGGACTAGGCTCTTCCATATTCTGACAATAATTTGGCATCTGGCTAAAAAAACGTGGTCAGAGTTGCCTCTTTGAGTGCCTAGATATGGATGTTTTCGGCATGATATAACATACTACGATTTCTCCTTTTGTGGAAACTATTCTTCAGATGGAGCAACTTATCGCAGAGGCTCCATGAGTTCTACTCACTGAGCCTCTCCTAGAAGAGAATATATGTCGTCATTCACCATGTATGGAACATTTCTGACAAAGACACTGGACTTTTAAGAGTTTATCTCCTTGGCTGGTCTTGACCATACCACGAGTGGGCTTGAGTTACTTTGTCTTGGGAGCACAATGATTGGTCTTATAATGTTACAAGCAGCCCAGTTTCCTGAAAGACGTTGTGTGCACAAATCTTATAGCCTGGTGTCCTATTATAATCTACTGTAAGAAACATTAGCTGAAATAAGGCTGTGCCAACACAATAAACTATTCGTTCGATGCGCAGATTTTCTCCCTCTGGTGTTGGGAAAAGCAAGCAGATGCATGCTTTGATTCAGATGAGAGACCCTGTCTCCACGCTACTCGGCATTTGTAAAAAAAAGCCCTGTGGGATTTATCCAAACTTCTGTTGTGTCGCCGATACTCTCGATAAAAATGGTCTCTTTAAGCCAGTATAACTAAGTAGGCTCAGAGTATAATTAAGACCCGAGAATCATTCTAGGTATGCACGATAATGTTTTTCCGTGGGACTGGCAGAAAAAGTTCTCACAAGCGATACCACCTCCCCAAATGAGACCAGCTAGACCGTTCGGGATGGGAATCTTTGTTCGGGGAGACTACGTGTTCAATCCCTCACCTCAAAGTACCAAGTGAACAACAACATTAGGTCTTAGCAGGCTTCCGTTTGAAAGCAGTTATACACTATAATCGAGTTACATTTGGTGAGGACCACCAGAAGACTCGCCGTTCAGTCATGAAACAAGACTGTCCCTCGTGTAGTAAGGAATGAAGCTTTGTTCATCAAATCACAACAGACTTGTCTTTGGACAGAGAGGGACTGTCAACCAGGCCACTTATTTAGTCCGACATTGCTCAGGTGACGAAAGTTTTTGTCGTGTCTGTTCACTTATCCAAGCCTCTGAATGGAGGTCGCTAAACTGGTAGGTTAGTCGGCTGTTGTCTTGCCGCAAAGTACTACTGGTTTACCCTGTGTCATAAAGCCCGACCGTGTCGAAGAAAAGTATAGACACTGCACTGTTCGAATAAGCAAAGGAACTTCATTTATTACAGCCACCTCCCCATCCCCGTGAGGTTGATGTTTTAAACCTACCTAGGCATCTGTGAACCATATCTTACAAGTCCTCGAAAGGTTTGACGAGAGGCCTAAGTCAGCGATAGACAATGGGCAACAAGATGTCACTTTATCCCCTTAAGCTCCTTAACTCCAATTATCACAACCAGTTTGAGTTACCAGATTTCCTTCTCCCTGGATAGCAATCATATTGAGACAGGTTGAATTATACGAAATTAGCGAAATACACCCATTTGCAAACTAATTTGGTCTTTCGAGCGAATCACCTAAAACCCAGCTGAATCTCTCGTTTGTGATGTTTCCAGGCAACTGAATGTGTTGTGGCTGTCGACGGATTTTCAGCAACCTTATGAGTAGTGCATTACAAATATATACATGTATCGCGATATCATGAATATCGTAGCTTCTGAAACAGGAGGCGGCCTGGTGCAACACATTCAGTTGCCTGGAAACATCACAAACGAGAGATTCAGCTGGGTTTTAGGTGATTCGCTCGAAAGACCAAATTAGTTTGCAAATGGGTGTATTTCGCTAATTTCGTGCAATTTGGTTTCAATTAGAACATATGGTTGACAGAAACTCGGTGACTGCGCCTACCTGATGAGCCCCAAGAAAGGCGAAACTGATTGTGGACTGTCAACGTATTTTCAGTTACCTTATGAGTAGTGCATTACAATTAAAGGCTTGTTATTCTCCTTGGAGCCGTTTTGGTCAGCACTAACTCAGAGATCTGGATAATACTTTGACCTTCTCCCAAAACTGGTACTTACTTATTCGGCACGGCCACCTGTGAGACCACTCGAAGGATGAATTCGACATCCTGGTTTGGCTCAAATGTACTCGGAACAATCACATATGCTCCGGGTAAAAGCGAAAAATGCGCACAGACTTCTCGTGTATTGATAAACGAAGATCGACCGCACGGTGACTTGGAAAGTAACTGCGCCCGTGTGAGCAATGATTCTTGGTCTTGGGGAACCTTTGCAAACAAATCGGTAAATAAGTAGAATAATGGTCTCCTAACAAACTAGTAACCAGAAGGAATCAGATCTAGAATTCTATCTTTTGTGGAGATAAATGAGAATCGTTTTGTAGCGACATTTGAAGGAACGGAGATAAGAGAAACCAAATGTTCCTCTACCACTGGTCACATGTTTCACAGAATACGTACCTGATACAGAGTAAAACCGATAGGGAAGAACTGAGCACCGCTTTTTTTGCGGACATCACGCTGCATGAGACCAATAATAATGGTGGCTTTTTGTTCATCATCGTCCGGATCAGGATCAACTACAGCGATACGGAACTGTGGGTTGGTCCAATAAGTATCTGTGGGAAGATATGATAGATAAAGATGCGGTCACTTGATGAATGGATGTGTGAGCGTCGTGCTTTAGCGGCAAACATTTGCACTCCCCACAAGTAAAAGACAACGTGTATCCGGCGGTTTTGTGAGAAAAAATTGATTTCATCCTTTTATCATGCCTTAGACTAGATACAGTCATCGACAGACGTTCCGGTTCGTTGTGTACTTTAGCTGTGAGGTAATTTGGTCTTCTGGCTCGGTTCGTCGATGCATTTCTAAGGAAATCGATGGCAGCTTTCGAGTCGAATAGTTGAGCTTCTGAGCAGAATTATTTCGAATCTGTCGGTAGTCATCTTTGATTATAACAGTCAATTAATCAAGCAGGCCACGACTTTAGGAAACTGGCCAATTAGAGTGAGGGGAATGGGGACTAAGAGAATTTCACCTAACGAGCCAATCAAATGCAAGAAGGGCATAACATAACACAGCACGGGTCTCAAGTGAACGGACGGAGCAGTAGGTTTTGATTGATCAAGCTCTTCGTAGATGTGTAGGGATGTACACAACAAGCAAAAGGAAATTATTGGCCCGAATGCAGGTGACGATGCCTCGTCAAATAGTGACGAAACAAACACTACCTTCTGTAACAGCCACTTCCCCAAAGTCTATTTCCCCACTTTACACATTTTATAAATATATATGAATATACGTATATATATATACCCAGTTTTGCATCACACTTATAGTGACCACGCAGCCGGTTATAATGCTAGCCTTGTCAACTAGGTGCACGCGTGCGATTCAACCGTCGTTAGCCGCGAGTTTATTGATCCGGTACTTGTATAGATAATTCCGATCCTGTCAGTATTCGTTCACCAAGTCGTCTCATCATTTCGAGTCGGGACGTAGTAAATACCGATTGCTGACTCTTTTCACACCTGAGCTGAAATAAAACATCAAACACGGAGTTGTGCTTGCACATTTGGAGACCATCGTGACACTATTTTTTTCATATCGACCACGAATCAATAAAAGTCGTTACGTTATTCACACCCTATACTTACCACCATGTGTGTAGTGTAACGCATGCACAGACCCACAAATCGCTTCCGTCTAAGTGTGCTATGGAGCTTTTCTAAAGTTTGGATACAAGTCTCCATTAGTTGGGACATCATCCTGCAAGAGAAGCCTAGCTGCACTGGAAGACCGAGTAGCTGAGGGCGACTTCACCAGCTATGCTGGGGACCAGCATTAATCTGTACTTCATAAGCTTGGACGGAGAACTGGAACTCTTGACCTTATTGCCGGCGGTTGTACACTATGTAACTTGGCAACGACTGAATAGCCAGCAGTTTTGTTAACATGCATCCACAGAGTGAACCCTTTAGTGAAATTTGGGACCTCGCTACCTACTAGCTACAGAAGTCCACTTAGAAAGGAAGAACCCCCATGGGCCGTCCATCTGAGGACTTGTCATGCGGACACCAGTAAGCAACACAAAATCACGTGACGTGGCTGGTGTGATGAAAAGACATTAACCGAATATTCCGTTTGCGATTTTATGTTTTTGCGTGGTCTTTTATTTTTGCTTCGAAAGTATATTTGTTTTAGGTTAATGCAAACGCTCGTTTTGAAGATTTTATCTTTACTAAATTAGTGAGGAGCAAGATGCCTCAAGTGGTTAGAGCGCGAATTTACAGACCGGAAGGCCCGTGGTTCGAACCCGACCTCTGCATCTCGACTTCCCCTGTCTAGGCTTGGGCGACCTGGCAGTATCCCAGCCCTAGGTGGCATGGCACCTCTATACTGAAAATTTGTTACAGCTGAACGAATGAGCTATTGACTATTTAGTTCAGTTGACCTATTCTGACAGTATGTTCGCTCATGTACTTCCCACCTAGATAGAGCTACACACCTGGCTAGACACTCGAGGTCTAAGCCACAAACCAGAAAGTGGTGGATTCGGTTTTGCCCTTAAGTTCGTGAGATATTTGTTATCGCCTATACGTCCGCAAAGGCGAAACGGCTGCACTGTGCTTCTCGGTTTTTCACCACAGATTTACTTTGCTTGCTGGGTGAAAACTGTGCAAAATTCAAGATATTCACGGGCGGGAAACTTGGAACTACCTAGAATCAGAATCAGTGAGCATAAGCGTTCCATTAACAGACCACCGAGAAATACAGATGAATACCAGGCGTTAGTCAAAGATTCGGCACTGGCACAGTATGCTCTAGACACTGGACATAGGATAGATTTAGAAAATGTGGACATCCTGAGACGGGATTCACACCAGAGCGGCTGGTGGCCGAGGCGGTGGAAATCGCCAAGCATCCCAGCGTGAATAGAATAGAGGGGGTAGAACTTGCAAACGTGTGCAGAGCGGTCTTAGATCAGCCGATAAGACACGAGGCGGTGTGCAGTTATCAGCGAAACGGTCTCGGTCTAAAAGTGCAAAATCCAAGTAGAGTTACATCTTATTAACTACACTAACCCTATCCCCAAACCAATTGTCTCAGCACCCTTGGACGAAGACAGGTGAACGAAATCTGTGAACGACTCCAAGGGGAATTTTCCAGTAAGGTGTCCTAGACGAAAAAAGTAGGACAAAAAATCCGGGTTCTTCATGAAGACAACCCGCCTAACCAATCTATTGTAACTCTCAGTCATGCCCACTAACCAACAAACAGGAAGATCAGACTGAACACCCAGCACTGATCAAGTCACTAGTCATAAGGAATCTCACGGAATGGTTCCCTGACAGCCTTAAAGCCCAATCAGCCAGCTTACTTTCTCACTTGGCCTGACGAAGCTCTTCTGTCAAAAGCGAAACGTTGCAATAAATCCATCGATTGTTTACCAAACCTCTATGGAACGATTCTGTATTTCGTAAAGCAAACTACTCACAAGGTTGCTGAAAACTGTTCGACAGCCCACGACCGGTTTCGCCCTTCTTGGGACTCATCATCAGGTAGGCGTAGTCCACGAGTTTCCGTCAATCATATGTTCTACTTGAACCCAAATTGCACTGTTTTCGATAAATACACTCATTTGCAAATCAATTTGGTTTTTCTGTATTTCGCTTTTAAGCCCCTTAAACGTTTGCACTTTATACTACTCACGAGTAGCTCGGTATGAGTGGAAACAAATCGGGTGATGGGGCACCCACCCTCCTGCTATGTGTTAAATCTGCATATATTGTCGCTCCTCTCTGGATACTCCTTCTGCTGTTCTGCTGCGGTCATTGCAGATAGCATACACCCTGGTGTAACGCAGTGAACTCAGCATTGCACATCATTGGTCCTTCGTGGAATTATGGATGATATGCTAGCCCAACGATCATGCACTGATACTCCAGTGCACATTGTACACACTCAGTTCAATGGGTTTGTGCGAAAATGGAAACCGAGTAGAAAAAAGCTTGTACCTGAAGAGCAATAGGGGCCTGTCATTTCCGAAAATAGTGGTAGACAGTCGATGGACTTATCGGTGCACTTTTTTCACTTTGACATACAAATTAATCAGGCTGAGCTAAGTTTGAGGTTGACGAGGGAACGAATTCCAACCTCAAGAGTAAAACAGGTCCGTTGGAGGTTGTCGTTTGTCGATATCGGCAACCAGCTCTCACCAGTGATAGAATGTGTAAAAAATTAAAGGATCAGATTTGTGATCTTCAAATTCAGGATGCAGTACGATTAATGACTTCTCTAGGATATTGTTTGCAATTTTTGTAAGTTTGAAATAGCTGCAAGTAGTTGCTTAACTTTTGCGGAGATTGCATGAAATTTGGTCGAGTTGGGTTCGCACCTAAATTCACAAAAGACCTGTTAGTGCCTAATTCTGACCGCTGACCGTGTGCGGTCAGCGGTGAATCCCAATGACCTAGAACTGTGGTGTACACGCCCTCGCGCCGCGCATACTTGGGTTTATTTAAACCGAGAAATCCAGCTGGGTTTGGATGAGCCCCTCTGTACTATCGAATAAACGTAAAAAATGAGAATATTAGGAACATTTGAGGGTTTTATTTACCGCTGCTACCATTCACCCTTAAATCTGTTTTATATAACCTGCAGCACTCGATCAGCACTTGATCCTCCCGGTGGTGTTCTGCCAAAAGAGGCAAGTTGCTTTGCAACGAATTCAACGATCAACTTTTATACTTTTCTGGAAGCTTGCTTTTAGACTGCACATAGGTGTCAGAAATATTTCGCTTTCAGATGTATGTGGGATTACAAACCAGCTGTCGCAGTCCGGATTTTGGGGCCATAATTTCTGGCTGGTGTTTGATTTGCTGTGATACCGACATATCTAAAGAATATTTCGGGTTAACTTACTTCGATAATTCATACAGCCACCCGCATTGACATTTTTCTCCCAATGACCGGAGAAGATGGCTTCATCAAGCCGGCGTTTCCCACGGTAATCTTGATCGTACTCTAAACTTTCCAGACCAAGATGGCAAACCTCCAGACGTGAAAAGCAGGTGACAAAGTCGTCGTAGGACATCCTAGAAAGCATGCAAAAGTAAGAAACTACGTGGAATTTGAAACAAGCCTTCGTTGTAAGTATTCTAGACGGGTCTCGTGTTATTTTTCGTGTGTGACCAGTCTTTGATTTGTCTGTTCATTTCCCGTCGTTCTTCCTCTCGCTACTGTTGACCGGAGGATGTCACTTATGATTCAAATGGGATTTCGTCTGTACTGAACCCACTCCTGAGCAACTCTCCCCTGTTGTTACATTAAGAACTTTACGAAGGACATCTTTATCGTTTGACAACAATTTATGTCTGAGATACATTCCTGATTAAGCTTGTCTCCATTAAACTCGGAATTAGACAACTGGAAAACGGATCTGATGCGGTTGATACTCCACTTCAGAAACTCGGTCAGTGCTATACGTTCCAAATCATTGCCAGTTATGAAAAACATCTGTGGTACATATCACATATCACACCCTAAAAAGGTCCAAAACTGAAAGATGATGAACTTGGGATAAGGTATTAAGTAGAAAGGCCCTGGATGCTTTGAGGATACAAGCGACCCATCATGCAGGGCTGTGGATGCTGAGTTATATTTTCCTATTACGTCCTATCGAGTGTGTCTGTTTGAAAGTTGGAAAGGCGGATAACATGGAATGTTCGTTATGCGCGAGCTACCTACATTCCACAACGTTGCTAATGCACTAGTATACTGCCTGTTTTTATCATCGACCCACTCCCTCCGACTTATGATACACTTCGTAATGGAAGTTTCACCTAAATCGGACGGCTGTACATCAACAAACAGCTCGCGTTCAGAAGTGGCTTCTGCGTCATTAAAAGTAAGAGTATATTCGATTCTAGGTGGGTAACTAAAATCTCGTATCGGTCTACCTGATATGTCTTCGGGGAAAATGTTTGCCGTAGCCTACCGTAAAGCAGCCATCAACTATGTTGATATCAGAAAATGGGGAAATCCCTCTTTCGAGTAACATGTGCCCAATATTTTACCGCTTTGAACTTTAGTGCAACCTCCGGAGTGATGAAAGAAGAGATCACGGGTATTATTGATCATTTGACGGGGACTTTTCGTTTTTTGTCTAGGACGGACAGTATACACAGGTCAGGCAAAAATTTCACAATATCATCTATTTGTTTGCGCGCAGCTGCCACAATAATATTGTAATGACACGGAGAAAGCAGCAAAAAATAATGAGGCTTTTGGGTTCTTTTTGTTTAATTTCAGTTCAGCCGCAGATAAAATATACAGAGGACCAAACACCTCTTTCTGAGGCTTTATAGCAGACTATTTTATGATCTCTGTACGTGGATGAATACTCATTGAATTATGGCATAAATGTTTATCAACCTAGATTGGGAAAGATGTTCGAAAGCTAGCCAACTACTGATGGGCTGCAATCTGTCGGAACTCAAGCTCCTATTTACACACCAGTATTCAATTCTTGATACAATTTGGACGTCATTCAAATGGAAATAGCATTCTATGTAGCCGTCCCGCAACCCCAACAACATTCTGCCTTTTTCTCGCAAGCCATCTCACGCAACCAATCAAGCAGTCTCTCAATCAACTCATCACTTACCAGAATTCGCCATCATCCCGGAACTTCAAATCGAGTATCTGCTTTTCCTGGGCACTGATACCTCCCCACTCGGGCGATTTATCTGACCACGCACCTTTCCATTCGTACTTCCCACCCCACGGGTTACGGCATCTGACAAGGTAGGTTGGGTTTCCGCGGTAATGAACCTGAGAAGTTTGGTGTGAACAGAAATGTGAGCTACACGTTTATACGATGGTTGAGAACTTGGTTCGTGAGTTCGCATCCATCTAGCTGAACAGTTGACACAACGAAGGATTTTGATTGTTTGCTCGATCACTGTGTATTAATTTCATGCTAACTGTGTTCCACTCTAAACTGTAGGAACCTACCACCCATCAAGTCTCCAGAAGGCCTTAAGCAGAACACCACGGAGAAGGCACAGCGAATTAGGCTACAGTAATCGATTGGAGCACATATACGTCCTTGCTTGTTACGCCTCACCGCCGATACTTTAGAGGTGCATGTTGTAAGCTCTAAGTAAGCCACAACGAAAATGTTATCACATAGCTCCTTACTATGGTACCATACGTCTCCAGACGCAAGAAAGCGGTTGGTGACCTGTGCGCGTTTTCAGTAAATATGTAGGATCTTTATGTCAGCCAGTCAGAAATCCACTGGTCCAAAAAGACCGTAAACTAGAATCTGCACTGCATACCTACGAAAATCGTACGTCCCGGGGATATTTTGCTGTGCTATGCCAGATAATTTAGACAAAGACTAATTCAATAATACACAAGGAACACTTGACCTATACCAACTGGAGACCATATCACCGAAGGTACAGTGCATGTTCACATTCGGTGGAAGCCCTTTCCATGGACTGAAACAAAGAAGCAAATGTGCCAGCTAGAGGTAAGTTTAGAGTATTGTTTGATACTAACTGGAAATAGACACCTGAATCAGTACATAGCTAACTGAGCGCATTATGGCTACGGGCCATCTACCCATCACAATTAAAGCACTTAGCCACAACACTGGCGACAGGCTTCGCTGATTTCGTCACCGCGTCTGGGCGATCGACAACATCAGTGCACCAGAGCAATACATGCACAGGAATACTGAAACCAAAACCCTTTCACTTAGCCACTTAGCCACGATGAATCAGTAGCACGAAGAAGCCCGCCCAACAAAGAGCTAATTGTGGAAGTCGTCGCATTACAACGAATGAACATTCGAAAGCCTTGAAAAACCCCACTTTTTCAGTCCAATCAATCAAGCGAATTATTCGCCCAAGAATACGAAGGACGGAGTCATAAGATAAATCATTATATCAATGAGCATCGTGTCGTCATTCAGTTTTCCCAAGAATACGAAGGACGGAGTCATAAGACAAATCATTATATCAATGTCGTCATTCAGTTTCATTCACCGGACCACTCAGAAAAATGGGTCACTCACAACTTCAATCCGACAAACCAAAAGCCAGACTGCTTTCTCCAAAAAATGCTGGCCAACTGGTGCAAAATAACTGTTCAAAACACTTCATTAATGACTTTTTCAGACCAAAACTGCATGTTTAGTTTGTAAAATCGCTTTATATCGCTCCGGTTTCTAGGGAGAAAGCAACAAACTGTGGTATGGTACGGGTTAAGAATCGCGTACAAACCAACCGCTATAAAAGATGTTGAAGACTCAAAAATCCTATCTCACCAAAAGACAAATATTGAGTCTTGGGGGAATACATATTTTGTTCTACAAATGAGATTAGTCTGTGGCGAAAAGCCAGGAGGCATCGTAAATCTGTTTCATCATTGTTGAGATGCATTGGCAGTGCAAGAACCTCTTCAAGTCAGTCACCGATTTTCCTGTTGCTTAAGCTAAGTTACGAGGTGTCTGTCTACAGTCGTCCTCTCTTTGGAAAAGTCCTCGATTTATTTAAGCCCCAGTGACCATTGGATCGGCACCGACGCTGGCATTAGGAATGGAACTAATCATGTTTTGTGGTATCCCCAAAGTCAATAAGGAAGCTCCGCAATGACCTCGACAAATACGAATGTGAATAGATACAAGCGCCTGTTGTCCCTCTGATTTATATCGTCCTGGAGAACTGTTCCTACCTCACGTGAGTGTGCCCTTTTTGTTGCATCTGAAGGGCATATGTGTAACTGATTGGTGCTGATCAGCGGTGCCCAACAAATCCAAATAGCCACCCTGAGCATATCTAACCGTTTCAGTCAAAAATAGTGGCCTCTATGACCAGCCGCATTTTCAATGGTTAGTTCCTCCAGCAGTCAGACAGCTTTTCTACCTGAAGTTGGCGATCGTAAATTTAAAGCAGTTCTGGAAAATGGAGTAGACCTCCCGAAGGCCGAAGAGTATCTTGTCGCTAGTGTGTCCAGATATTTTTGGGACCAGGTGGTTGTACCGCATTCTCGGAAATATTCTCTTGGAAGGCCGCTGTGTATGTGGTTTCTTTTTTTAGTTCCTCTCTTTCCGTATCGTGTACAGAACAACAGGACGAGGAATGACGGTGAGAGTGCCTACGTAGATTCTGAACCCAGCTGTATAAATGGCGAATATACACTCATTTGCAAATTAATTTGGTTTTTCGAGAGACTCACCTGGAACCCAGCTGAACATCCCATTTGTGATGTTTTCAAAAGTTTGCAAACGAGTGTATATTCGCTAATTTCGTGCAATTTGGTTTCAAGTAGAACATAAGGTTGTGGGAAACCCGGGGACTGCGCCTACCTGATGAGCTCCAAGAAGGGCGAAACCGGTCGTGGGCTATCGATGGATTTTCAGCAACCTTATGAGTAGTAGATCACAAAGGCATACCATTATGTTATCCAGTCGGTTATTTTGATCGAAATCACCACTGCTAAACGACTATCAAGCCCATCTTGAGGGTATCTCATATTAGGTTCGGACTGATGTGCATTCTTGCGAGGTAGCTTGTCAGTGGATGGGCGTCCCTTGTGCTTATACTAGTGGAACTGAGAAGATGTGAACCACTTCTTTGAAGAACGATGATATTCTCAAGCGGCGCATTTGAACAGAGAAGTAAACGGTCCATCTTTGTCGTCAACGCACCATCAGGTAGTAGTGTTCTGACTTACTTGCTGCATCCCAGTCACGCTGTACGCATGGCCCGCAATCAAGCCGTTGTCAAGTTTGGCCTCAATGATTTGCGACTGCAAAAAGAACAAATTGAATGCGTCTCCTTCAAAACGTTAAGGCGATATTAACAATTCAGGAGTTTATCACATAGGATAGGTATACCGACAGGGGAATAAAATCAATCGCTAAAATCTGACAGATTTGCTATGTGGTTTCGGTCAGTAAGTCATGCGGGAGGGCGCGGTAAGGTGGCGATATTTACTGCAGAATATATAATATATGATTAAGAACATAAATTTAGTACGGATTTTATACCTTTGCTGGTCTAATCAAAGGTATTAGGAGAACCAGCTCAGAACGTAACGGGACCCCATAACAGCCAATGGAATAACCGTTTTTCTTTGAGACAGATTTCATTGGTTGTTCTTCACTCGTCCTTGACAGATGAGTTGTAGTCTTAGTATCAAATTTGACCACTTGTACGCGACGGAGATCAATAGATCAGCTGGCTTGCACGTTCACTGACATTTTTCTGGTTTGGTCAAGCGCACCAGGCGGTCAGGCGGCTATCCAGACCGGCGTTCACGGCAATAAGAAGGCATTAAGGTACTGTGGTTCATGACAAGAGACAAACGCGGAGGTTGCATTTTCACCAAAACTGACAAAGCCGCATGTGTTTTTCGAAATACTTCTCTGTCTATTACGCGTAGTTGGAGTGGCTGTATAGGGCATGCGCCAACTCCTAGGCCACCGGCCTTCGTTGTGCACATGGTTCTTCCATTCTTATTGATAGTGAGGGTTGAATCCCGGTTGTCCCAGGTCTGAATTTGAAAACAGCTTAGATACGCCCTCAAATCTGTATGGCTGAATGACAATGATTTAGTCAAACTTGGCCGTTGTACTTGCACTTGTGCCCTTAACGAGGAAAGTACATGACAGGCAAGAACATTTCTTGGCATCAAAAGAAATCGTACTTACGTCCACGGAACAGCCCATCAAACAACATCGATTGACGTAAATCATCATCTGCTTCACCAAGTCCTTGGGACGTTTTTGTGGGCTAAGCTCAATGGTTTCACATATGCCGCCAGTCAGATCTTCCATGGCCTCACTCTGTGTCCCACCTGACAGGTTCTCATAGCAGCCATTGACTCTGAAAATTTAATTAAATTAAAATTTTGTGGTATTTATAAACAAAAGTAACAATCAAAGGGAAATTGGCGAGTGATGACCCACTTTTTCTCGTACAGCTCCTACTGAAGGCGAGCACCCCCAGAAGAGCCCAATTGTATACCACTTTGTTCGTCCTCGGAATCAACACATGATGCAGCTGTGAATCACGAATTTGCATTGATTTCTCCTGAGTTGGTTCCATAATGAGCGTTTGTGTTCATACTACTAACCGGAAGGTCGCAGTATCGAGACCCTCTTGGGTTTCTTGAGGTGCAAGCTTCTGGTGTTTCCCAGTAAGGATGAAGCAGCTATAAGTGCTTCTCGGTTTTTCAGCCTAGATTAACTTCACCCAAAGGACGAGACGCCCAGTAAAATTCTCCAATCTCCCAATACTACTAATCAGCTCAGAGGAGGAACGATTCCAAAAGAGGGATGAAACTTCCATCTGAGAAGTCATCAATCTGGTTAATAGTCAATTGCTCCCACCTGCGACAAAAAGTCACAACTCTTCTGAATAGTGCAAGGCAACAACGCCCAGATTACGTGGACTGTGGGAGAAGGTTCAGAGTGGTCATTCTATTTTCGAAAAAAGGGGCGTTGTTCAACTAACGCGGGAGGTCGCGATTCCGGAATGGCTCATATTTTCCGAAGATAAGAAGAAGTTTCTGACTGGCTAACATAATGATACAGTTCAAAAGGCTGTGCGTATCACAAATATGTGTCTGAAAAGACCTCACGAAAAGGAGTGGTAAGCAAAATAACATTGCATCACGTAACTCCAGCTGGATCTAAAAAATCATGGATTTAAGTACTCCCGAAAACACGGACACCCAACAATCCACGTATTGCTCCACTCACCATTAACTCTCTCGGAGGTTGGCCCGAATCCTGTAGCATGTTTGAGTTTGTGGGATCAGTTTACTAACTTTCCTACTGATGAAGTAGTCGACTTCGTTTATATTGCTGCCAGAGATAGCCGGTTATCAGTAGGACATTGATAAGACAATCTATGTAAACCGTCACTAGTTTGCACAGTCAAATTCTAGTTTCTTATGGACGGCTCGTGTAACGGGGATCAAACGAATGTACGATCCTTCCAGGTGTTGATAGGTTGAGAGACACGGCTTGTGTCAGCACTACTGAAAATAAACTCAGTGCCTCTAAAGGCTGTGCCTGCGGACCCAGATACGCAGGAAAACCGACGAGGCATCTCGTGACACTAATCGGTGGATATGTCCAGAGTAAGCTGCTGTGATCTGATTGTGACTCTCCACGAAGTGCAATACTCAGGCAGTCTTTGGACTCTGTTCGTGTTGCAAAACCCTGCCAAACATTCCCCTCATCAAGCAGCACTTGCTGTCAACATACCTGACCCTCTTATTATGTGCGGAAACAATTAGCTATTAACCTCGTACTGGCCTTGTTTTTATTCCCACCTCACACTTGGTACTGGAAAATTTTGAATGTACACTCGCATTTACATTAAAATTGCATTTTTTCCAAAATTTATATTTGAATTTCACTTTTCGTGGTTTTACTGAATGCCACACCAATGCCGAAGATTAGCTGTCGGTCGATGCAACCCGTTCATGCTTTTATCTCAATTGACCTCGTCGGCCTTCTACGTCGGAAATTTGCCTCCAGGGAAATCTTTTTCGATTATCTACCATCGTCACAGTAAATACAGAAGAGATATCGAAAGCATACAAAAGACGATCAATTACCACAGAAGCGAGTAAAAAGTGTGAGCAAGCAAAATTGGGGACAATGGATGAAAACTCAATTAAGTTCAGACCACGCCAAGCTGAGTGGAAGGTGTGAACCTACATCGCTTGGGGAGTGGATATGAACGAACGCATGGGGAGTCAGATTTATTGAATGCATGGTAGGTCAGACATTTTTGTGTCCTTTCTTCATCGGCTAAGACCGAGCTCAAAACCATGCCTCCCTAGACACGGGTTCGATCTGAGGCATCGGTTAACCACAGCTCCTGAAAAAATTCATCTTGACATTGCTGTGGATTGCTGATAACGTGAGGAAAGTTGGGAATTTTGGCAGAGATTTCGTCCCGTAAGTGAAGCCCATCTGTACTGAAAAGCCCGGAAGCACAATACAGCTGCTTCATTCTTATTGGGAGCCATCCTACCTAAGTGCGAGTTAATCACACTGGTGATCAGCGCCTCCTGATCGAACGGTTAGGTGTTCAAACCAGCAGCTGAGAGGTGGGGGTGGGGGGTTCGAGACTCTGTAGACTTTCCTTGAGATGCGCACTACTGATGATCTGCAATAAGGATGAAACAGCTGTACAGTGATTCTCGGCTTTTCATCACAGACTGAATAAGGATCTAACAACCGGATCAGTGCCAAGCGGTCTTCGTATAGTCACTGTCACCTGATAGGTTGAGAGACACGGCTTGTGTCAGCACTACTGAAAATAAACTCAGTGCCTCTAAAGGCTGTGCCTGCGGACCCAGATACGCAGGAAAACCGACGAGGCATCTCGTGACACTAATCGGTGGATATGTCCAGAGTAAGCTGCTGTGATCTGATTGTGACTCTCCACGAAGTGCAATACTCAGGCAGTCTTTGGACTCTGTTCGTGTTGCAAAACCCTGCCAAACATTCCCCTCATCAAGCAGCACTTGCTGTCAACATACCTGACCCTCTTATTATGTGCGGAAACAATTAGCTATTAACCTCGTACTGGCCTTGTTTTTATTCCCACCTCACACTTGGTACTGGAAAATTTTGAATGTACACTCGCATTTACATTAAAATTGCATTTTTTTCCAAAATTTATATTTGAATTTCACTTTTCGTGGTTTTACTGAATGCCACACCAATGCCCAAGATTAGCTGTCGGTCGATGCAACCCGTTCATGCTTTTATCTCAATTGACCTCGTCGGCCTTCTACGTCGGAAATTTGCCTCCAGGGAAATCTTTTTCGATTATCTACCATCGTCACAGTAAATACAGAAGAGATATCGAAAGCATACAAAAGACGATCAATTACCACAGAAGCGAGTAAAAAGTGTGAGCAAGCAAAATTGGGGACAATGGATGAAAACTCAATTAAGTTCAGACCACGCCAAGCTGAGTGGAAGGTGTGAACCTACATCGCTTGGGGAGTGGATATGAACGAACGCATGGGGAGTCAGATTTATTGAATGCATGGTAGGTCAGACATTTTTGTGTCCTTTCTTAGTCGGCTAAGACCGAGCTCAAAACCATGCCTCCCTAGACACGGGTTCGATCTGAGGCATCGGTTAACCACAGCTCCTGAAAAAATTCATCTTGACATTGCTGTGGATTGCTGATAACGTGAGGAAAGTTGGGAATTTTGGCAGAGATTTCGTCCCGTAAGTGAAGCCCATCTGTACTGAAAAGCCCGGAAGCACAATACAGCTGCTTCATTCTTATTGGGAGCCATCCTACCTAAGTGCGAGTTAATCACACTGGTGATAAGCGCCTCCTGATCGAACGGTTAGGTGTTCAAACCAGCAGCTGAGAGGTGGGGGTGGGGGGTTCGAAACTCTGTAGACTTTCCTTGAGATGCGCACTACTGATGATCTGCAATAAGGATGAAACAGCTGTACAGTGATTCTCGGCTTTTCATCACAGACTGAATAAGGATCTAACAACCGGATCAGTGCCAAGCGGTCTTCGTATAGTCACTGTCACCTAGAATCGGTGGTGGTAATATTGACAGGGTGTTGATCAGGAATAGGAGCAAAAAGTAAATCCTAGGTGTTGTGGTTGAACATTGAGGCACACTGTGAGGCAAAGTCTTTAGAGTTCACATTTCAGCAAGCCGCTATGGTATCTTATTGAGATTTCTATTAGTATATGGGCGAAATAACCATCAATTATAAAAAAGGCTGCCTGAATATTGACGTCTTGAGGAAGAGCGAACATTTTCTCATGAATTTTACGAAACTCACTTTGCATATGCCTTTTCTAACAATGCTGACCAAAACTCATTGTCGTCAGCCGAGTGCATGAAGGCTAAGCGTGTTGTCCCTCTGTAGACTGGTAGGCGATCGTCCACTAATACCTCCACCCATTGGCCAAACTGCCAGAATCGCATTCGAAATACGCCAACGTAATCTTCACCTCTCATTGGCTGATCAGGAGGAACGACTTGCTGGAACAAAGCCGGATAGCTCGAAATCGAGGAAACCACAGCCAGTAACCAACAGTCACCTATAACGGATGAGAAGAATTGAGAGAGTATTCCTCGAAATTGTACATCGGGAATATGGGATTCCTAAGGATACTCACGCATTGTACGAAAAATGGTGGCGATATTCTTATCCGTATCGATTTCTCTCGTCTCTGACTATTAATCAAGGGGTAATATTTCTTCGCCGACCAAAAAATGCCCGATCTCCACCTACCTGGCAGATTCGTCCTATCCTATTCTATTTAGTCAATGGAGAACGTAAAAGCCATGGAATCGAGATTCGCTCGTATTGTGGCTCAACAGTCGGGCGCATTGCCTTACAGCTGGCATCCATCTGAAAACCGGAATCTTGTTTTATCAAGGCACCAATTGTTCTTTCTTTCTCCGAGACTCATGGATGTCTTCGGGCCAAGAACATTTCTATTCCTGGCACCTGAAGATAATCAAAGGATCAGAAACAAGAAGTTTCCCCAGACTTCCCCAGGAAGGTTGTCCGCTGACGTTTTTTTCGAACCTCACGACTAACCGAGCCATCTGCCAGTGTTTTTACATCGGTCATGCGCTGAACTAGTGTACAGAATCCTCTTCTTGAACGCACATCTGGACTATCCACTCTAAAGCACAGCAAATTAAAGTAGATACTGTCAAAAACCTGAATGTCTTGGTAGTTTACGGGTTGAAGATACAACGCAGTATGCTTACGAACAGATAAAAGTCGTGTTTATGAAAATTACGCAGGACTAGAAACACCGGATCACTTCACCAAAGTTGTACTGGCCGCTTGCAGTAAACGAGCATTTTCTGGTGTGGCATAGAAACTTTTTGTAACCCTTTGCAATTATTCTAAGCTGAGTTAGGATGAAAAATTTCAGCATACTTACCGCATTCGCCCTGTTCAATGTCGAAACGGCTCGCACCCCCGACGAAGAATTCTGCCCTGGGATTGATATCCTGCAGAGACAGAAGGTGAAAGGTTGTTGCACTCCGGTTATTTTGACAAGTTTTTCACTTACAAATTGATTCAATTTACTCCGCAATCATCCTCATAAGCTTGTTTCTTTTTGCGTTTGCACTTGCGCACCACATACTGCGAATTAAGTTGTTAAAAATTCAAAGAGAGCCCATTTTGGGCTTCTCAGGAAGATGTTATTCCTGGAGGTTGAGAATGCCAATTCTTCAATTGAACAATGATCTGAGTGAAGGTTTGGTTTTGATCTCACGCGCATGGTTGAATTACTGGAGATCTTCTTGTTGGGAATCCTCACGTTGACGGTGGCTGGACCCTTCACGGGATCTGATCTTACTACACGCATTTATCAATTCCTTATTATCGGATCCTATCTGGGAATCGGAGTCTGATTACTAAGTGGTGGCTCTAAACAGCCTCCGGTTTCGAGTTCATGGCATTCTCATTTTTTCCTGGAGAACTTACTCTGGTGAGTTCGCACTAAGGGGAGGAGCAGTGGACTCGAGTTTCGCAGTTATTGGAACTCACTAAAAGTGCATATTTTTGGTCTTGCCGAGATTTGAAATCTGGGCACTGGTATGTGAGCTGATCGTTAATATCACTACTTAACGAGTGCGCAATCAATTTGAGTTATCACAAGTGTTCACACGTGAGAAGTTTGCTGGATTCGTCTGACTGTTTGAAAGATGACTCAAAGATGACTCTCAGTATATTGAGAAAATAAAGAGCGGAGCATTCAAACGAGATTATTGTGAACATTGATTGTTTCGAATCAGATAACGAATTGCCGGATATCTTGAATATCATTCCAAAAGAAATTGGGGTGGTCTTTCTGCACGCACATTCATTTGAAGAGGTTCATAAAAAAGATTGTATTTTGAATGAATGTAGTATATTTTAAATCAATGTTCTTTGCCATATCCAAGCAACTTGATGTCCAAATACAGCCTAAGGCTGGTGAGAACTCGGAGACCAGACTTCCTGATGGACTTCAAATAGAGCAAAGCGGCTCGTGATCTGTCAGACGGTTTCCACCGAACACACAAGTACGGATAGTTCAAACTACGCCATTGTTATGCTTCTTTGAGGCTTCAGATGTCTTCCTCCCCATAACCGCCCGGCATGTCTCTTGTCCATATCTCTTTTGTGTTGAGCACGGCAAGACTATGAAGTCAGCATCGCATTACTTATTTTTTCTCAAGTCAGCATTCATATCCCAGCACACGGTGCCAGTTGGTTTTGGGTGGCTACACATTCCATCAACTATTTTCTATATTTGTGTAGTTTATTTTTCGAAAATTTTATTGTACTGATAGTCGATTACAAGTTAGAGCTCCGTTATCAGGCCTCTATAACGCTGAAGTGATTCTCGGCGTTGACAGAAGATCCGTTAGTCAGTTCACAGTACATTCCATCTTCCTGGTCTATTTTCAATCACACGCAGCCAATTCTCGAATTGCACAAGAAAAGGCAGAATTGTACTTTGTTTTTCACTCACGATCATGACACCAGGCAGTCGGTCACATGTACTTAAGTTCCCTGGAGCAGTATTGATTGTTCGATACAAGCTTGCATTCTGAGGCTTGAGCGTTGCTCTCAGATTGTCACAGGCTTATTGATCGGTCACGTTAAGATGCCACTAACACTGTAATGCTTTACCATTTTGCTCCTTTTCGCACTTCCTGTGGCGAACGACGTGAATTAATTCCGTAACAATATCATTCCTACTGATTCTTTCAACCACAGGCTCAATCGCCCGTTTGTGTTATTGTATTTCGATCCAATCTTACCGTAAATTCAAGGCGAAGGAATGGCACCTGACTGATCGGATTCAGTCATTTAGATAGGGTATAATGCATTCATACAAGTGGGTAGTTAGAAATAGAGATAATTCATCCTAAATCAAACCCCAAATAAGGCTCTGACCATCTTTATTAACAATTCCTCGATTTCGGTCGCTTTTGGGTGAGGTGTTCTGCAATTTGTCGGACTACAACACAACGCGGGTCCTAGGCGGAGCAAAGAGATCATAAAAACCCTACTATTCAGTTATCCGGTCACATCGAGAGACATGAGATATCGTTTGGAAACTATATGAACTTAAGTGGATAAAGAAGTTGTGCCCATTCAACCGTTCACTGTAGGTATTTTCCACACAGGCAGCAAAACATTTGCCAACCGACTGCCAAGCTCGATGAACAAGTCAACGACCACCTGATCAGAAAACGAGAAAAAGGGTTATAAAAACTAGCGAGAAATGGCCACTTCTTACAGTACTCTTCCGTTAAAAATAGTCCCATCCAATCCAGTTTTGAGATTACCACCTCAAAATTCAGACAGAGTTGTTTGTTTAATTGGTTCAGACAGTTTGCACGGCTTTTCCGTCAAACTTTCGAAACCGTATTAGTGCTTGTCTCGAAACCGCGGCCATCCTCGCTCAAATCAGGCACCAAAAATGTCGGTCTAACTAAAGGCTTACATATCCTAGCATCACAGGTGTTCTGCCCAGCAGAATTAGGCCTAAGTGACTCCCCCCTGCGGACACCACCCATTTGTGTGTAACCATATCCCTTCAGAGTTGAGTTTGAATTTTTCTGCTCACAGAAAATCACTCTTCGGGAACTTTATCTTCAATTCGGAGACCTATTTGAATATTCCAACTGTTGGTGAAAACTTTCATAACTTAACGCTGGTAAAGATGTCGTCAAGTCAAGGGGGAAAACTTACTGGCGTTTTTCAGATGTAGTTCAAAAGAGTCATATACTAATGAAGTGATACGATAAAATCAACCATGAACACTGACCATTGAGCTGCTTATCATGCTTGCAGCTTTTTGCGCTCTTAGTGCTCATTCTCTACCCTGCGCCTTCATCACAGTTCTATAGAAGGGGAAAAACTGGACCTATTCAGCAACCTTCCCCAATATGATTTCTGTTTTCCCCCCGTTCCGTTGTACTCATCTTTGCATGCAAAACATAAGTCGTCATCTTAGTATATGATCAGATTATCATAAGGTTTTTCTATACTAGAAAGACACATATCGACGTATAATGAATACTGAAGACTTAGAAGCCACCGGAACATGTACATGAAACCCTTTACTGGCTAGAAGTGAGGGCTGACTTAATTTTACTGATTTATGTACTTCATTTCAGTTTACGTGCCTCTGAAATTACGTTCGCGTCGGCAGAAATAACCAGCCTTCCGCTCAGACAAACTAAGCATGTCAAGGAAAAATTACTACGAACAAATCGGACAATCACGTGACCATCGCGTATGAAATATAACACACTACTTTTGCTACCCAAGATCTCATTCTCTCTGTTGTTAAGCCATCCGAGCTACATAGTGACTATAGTGAAGCAAATATGATCCAAGTGAGAAGACCTGTCTTTGTGCCTACAGGAACTGTGAACCAGAAGCCCAAATGAATCGTCTGACTGATCTCAATCTAACCCCACTCTGAACCAATGTCTCTTCCTTTGGTTGTTTGATGCTATTTGCCTGTCTTAAAATTAAGTTTTGCGCTCACGACTGACGAGATCAGTAAAGGGTTGGAATATTGTGGCGCGTCTTCTTGATGTTTCGATCAAATGGTCAGAGGGACCCTTGTGTTTCAGATTGCTTACTGTTAAGGAGCCTGCTTCTTTAGAATTGCATCTGATCGATGTGGCTATATGGATCGATCGACCAGGTTAAAAATCTGTTTTTGAATTTTGAATGGACGTTTATGGTACATATGGCACGATATTTGCTCAGAAGTAAGGTAGCCCCATTTCTTCGATACACAATGTCACTGTACTGTGTACAACTGCCAAACACTACTAAATGTTCAAACAGGTACACAGTTGCATTTTATGAATGTATTAAGGACAGATTTGATCAGAGGTTTTAAAACCGTCAGGACGCTAAATTTATAAACGTGATCCTAATCGCGATTTCATACGAATGAATGTGAGTAGCTCAACTTCCAAAATGGGACGGCACTGAAAATGGGATGTGCCAATGAGAATAAATGCCCTCATTTTTATGCCACGGAATGCAAAAAAAAACAAAATGTTAACATAAAGAACTAGAAAAACAGTGGAATTGTGTGGTTCACAAGTATGCTTTTACATGTGTATAAGCAGGGTTCGGTGTGCCAGTTTTATCAGTACCAATGAAAAGCTGTGCACTACTGATGAAACATGCTAGTGGTGTCCGGTAAAGTGGCAGAACACCGTGCCTTCATCACCTTTCGCCGCCTACACAGCAAGGCCGAATTTGTTGCGGTTCCGTAAACAACGATATAGCACATGATGTGGTTTGAAATAGTTACGAAACCAGTTATATTTACCAGTTAGTCATTCCAACTCCCCCTGAAAAGGTTAATATGGAAATGATACTAGTAATAATTATAATAATTATCGATCAGCCGTAACACCCTTTCGGTGCCGCTCAAAGGAGACATGAGTGCTGAGACATTGCCAGGTTGTCCACATCTAGACAAGAATAATCGAAATGCAGAGGTTGGGTTCGAACCACAGACTTTCTGGTCAGTGAGTTTGAACCTTAACCACTGAGCTATGTCGTGCTCATATGCATCTCTGTCAATCCATGTAATCCTGTAACTTTGACCAATTTCGGGAAACCAGACAGAAAATATAAGTAGAAAGCAATAAGTGATGTTTTTACCTTTGGTCTCTTCCATTCCAACTTTCCACGGAGTTTTGACATTCCGACTGAGCTGTCATCAGCTGGAAAATCTGGGTCCTCCCACACAGTCCCTTCACGTTTGAGTCGACGAACCAATGTTTCATGTTGCTTGCTAGCGAGGTTCGACAACAGCTTCATCTGTTGTGCAAAGAAATTATGAAGATCGAGCGTTCAGTCTAATGTCAACGCACCGAAGCAATCACCCGTTTATCGCTATCAGTGGACAGAGAAGTTAGGAAACAAGCCTCGGGCAAATGAGTCCCTTTGCATCGGAAAAGGGAAATTTCATGAATGCAGCTTTTTGCACGGCGTTAATCGTACAAAAATCGCCCCAAGAAATTCGGATTATTGCTGTTACTCAACCAGGATAGCCTGGTGAACAACACCGTAGACTTGTGTTTGAAGGAGTCCCGCATTAAATTTGACCACCGTCTACATTTGGTATGATTTTTTCATCTTCAAAAGTATAGCAAATATTCTTCGTCTCAGGAGGCAAGCCCGTAGTGTGGTGATATCGTAGTGATATTGTATAACGTCGATTCCAAAATTCAAGTTGTGAGCCGAAAACTCAAAGTACACGGACAATTATAGTGACAAGTAGCTGGAAGCAGCCTACCAATCAATACAACACAAAATAATTCGGTGCACGGATGCTGCTACTCACATCGGTTTGCTAACTAACTACAAGAGAGTTCAGAAAACACTTCAGCAGCCACTTTAGACTCTTCATACGCTACGCTACGCTTACGCCGTGGTGCAGTAATTCGCGAAAAAATGTTAACCAAATATACTTGCCGTTGGTCCTGCTTCATTCATTTCTGATTCTAATGGTTCGATATAAAATACATTCTGGTTTTATAGGCATTTCCAGGCTAGAGTCTTAATGGTTTGATACTGATCTGATTCTTGGCAAGAACCTCGCGAATTCAGGGACGTTGTATGAACTGGGCCGTACGGTAACAACCTGAGGCATCAAAAATATTAGCCACTATTGAACAGACAATAAGGTCTGTCAGGAAGGAATGCAAGTTCAGCAGAATACTTGCAGCAACATTAGAGCCCGATCGAAAATCTATTGTTGGTTGATACCCGATGCGAATTAACCATTCAGTGAAAGGACTGAGGGTGTTTGCGTGGCTGCTGAGCAATAATCGCTTGACCCTCGACCCAATGGGGTAAAACATACAAGGCCGTGAAACAGATATAATCTCGAAAGGAATGCAATGCAAAGCAATTATGTATAAAACGCAAATCCGGTCTGGTCTGGGTTCATTTGGAGCGTATGGTTGGTGGGACCTCTGTCTATCTGACGAACTCCAAGAAGAGTAAACCGGTCGCTGTCAGCTGAGGAGTTCACGGTAGCCTCATGAGTAGTGTGTTATGGCAGGAAACCATCAGAATGCTATCAGTTTTCTATATTACCCTACCGGCAGCTAACTGGAAACTGCATATTTTTGACTTGGACCAAAGTAGGTTAGGAACTGAATTGGCGACAATGAACGTGGATATGAGTTCACAAAGAACAGGAGAAAATGTGACGAGACTACAAGAGTTCCTAATTAGTTTAACTATGGTGACAAACTGAGATCAGTTTCTGTTAGATTGTTTAGGTACGGAGAACTGTTCATCTGAACGAATGTTTTCACAGGCTGCAATTTTGAGTCAAGTTTTTTTTGACATTCTCTAACGAATTGCTTTGCGAAGTGTTGATTGACACTGCCTGATATCACTAGACTATCTCACGTCCTTCGAAACACGAAAAACACGCTGTTCTACCCCTAACACAGAAACACGCGCACCGGTGAGTTTATTCGCTCACGTGCACTGTGGCAACGACCTTATTATTTCTCTGCTGATCCCTGGCACCAAAGTTGACATCGTCTCAAAATCGCCTGTGTCTTACAAAGAAGTTATGCGGTGCATGGCTACTCAATACCACAAAACACTTATTCACTTTTTACCTATTTTGCGGCTCAGGGAAACAAGCACTCAGCGAAATGCACTCATTTGCAAACAGATATGGTTTTTCGGGAGACTCGCCTGGAATCCGGCTGGATCTTTCGTTTTTTAGAGAAACACATCACAAACGAGTGATTCAGCCGGCTTTCAGGTGGGTCCCTTGAAAAACCAAATTAGCTAAAGATATGAACAAAATGCTTCTTAGCATAAGGCTTTCCTAGAACTTCTCCCAATCACCATCTGAAAGTCTGGTATCGAAGAAGCAATACCAGATAATAAAATGATTAATTCAAGAACCACCTCCTGTGGATTTCGAATGCAACACTTCAAACTGTATAAAGGCAGCACTACTAGTAACCTATGTGAGTAGCACGTACACTACCATCAGTGGGTGTTCTCGGGTATTCTGCCGGTTGTCTACTTGCTTGGCCAACGCGTTCGTCTGAACACGAAAGCTTGAACTGGCGAATGACTTGTGGTAGTTACTTGGGGCAAACTGTCCCTAGGATATTCTATGATCCACAATGGGTTGACGAATTTGCGTCCAACTTTAATAAAGATTTCATAATTTAGGTAGATCCTGAAAAGCCACTGAAAAACCGAGAATCACTCTAGAGCCGCTTCATCCTTTTGGGGATCATCAGCAGGGAGCATCTCACGAAAATCAAGGGAGTCTTCTCAAATTTCCTCACTACTAACAATCTGCAAGTAGTTCAGATCAGTAAAACTTCCAGCTGATAGGTCATCACTCAAGCGGCCAGTTGACATGCAACGTGCTGTGCGATGAGCGGCTACCAATACTGTCTAAGTGGGAGTTGATCACACGAATTATAGGCTGTTTTTGGCCAAGTGGTTGAGTGTTCAAACTACTAAAAAGATCGATTGGCAGCAACAAACCTGTCAGCTGACAATTGATCCACCATAAAGCGTGCATGTATTTTCGACCAATGTTCAATATAAAACTCCCGAGACCCGAATTTTCAAACTCACTTTGGCGTAACCTTTCGGAGTGAGGGTTTTCGGTATATGAGGGTTGAATTGCATACGCCCCTTGCCTTTTTTCGGCTCAAGAATTTTCACTGAAAGCCAAATGCGAACGTAAATGAGTTGGTTTCACAGTCGAGCAATGATTTAATAATCAACTGGCTAACTAAGTCTTTTGGAAAAAGGGTTAAATTTAAAGAAAAACTTCAGTTCCTTTTCCGTTTTGTGAGATATAAGGCATCCTACCGCCATTTTCATTCAAATTAATAGCAGGTACAAATCCTGTCTTAGTGATACCTCTTACCTATGAGCTTCATTTCCGGTCGCAAATCTTCGTGCAATTTGTTCTCAAGTAGAACATAGGGTTGACGGAAACTCGGTGACTGTGTCTACCTGATGAGCCCCAAGAAAGGCAAAACCGGTCGTGGGCTGTCGACGAGTTTTCAGCAACCTTATGAGTAGTAGTGCATTACGAATATTCATGAAAACCCATTTGAAAATTACCTAAGCTTCTCAAAGTGAATGTTCTTTGCCAGCTAAGATTTATATTATTCAACACAACGGCTGAATGCTTTTTTATGCAGGGCATTGCTCAACACTGCGCCACTGGCATCATTTAAACCGTCTATAGTAAGCATGCAGGACTCGGAAAAAAAAACTAAAAAACGCGTATTGCAATCATGTGTAGTCTACCAAGGCTCAAACTCAACCCCGATATCTGGCTGCTCTTGTCAAGATTTGAGAAACCTGGCAGTATCTGGGCCCTCCATGGAATGGCTGGGCAGTTAGGCACCAAAAAGTAAATGACTGTTTTTTGTCACTAGGTCAATCACCAAACCCATCCCCCTAGCATAATACCTTGCAGGATAAACTCAACAAACAACGGACTCAAAAACTACTCCGTGGTACTCGACCTAGTACTCAATGTCCCAGAGTGAAAAATTCCCAGATCGAATCTTCCCCTCGGTACAAAATTAACAGATTAACGCTACTGCATTTTCTCTCCTTGTATTCTTTATCCAAACCGGGAACCTTCTCAGAGTAATTCAAAATGAAGCAACAAGAAATTTTACTCATCTCAGTACACCTCAGATAAACTGCCTCCAGAGAAGCGAAGGCAGATTTATATTCTAAGTGATTCACTTCGAAAGAACGAACAGTAACATGAAGCTACACTTTGCCGTAAGGTAAGGTTCAATAGCCAGCATCTGACAACCGTTTATCCAATTTCCAAAGGCAGCACTGCTTTTGAAAACTGACAGGGAGTTTCGATTCTGAATTTCTAACGCAGATTCTTTCTAATGGAAATATTTCCTTTTGCGTAACTCAAAGTCTGGCTAGACGGTGCCCTAATCAATATATTAAACTCAGTCATTTCACAACAGCTGATAGCAGCTTTACGAATCTGGCGTTTTTTTTGTGAAGCCTTGCTCATATACTTGGGTAATAGCAGTAAACACCTGAACAAAGCACTCTAACTCAAGCGGATAGTTCCATGAAAATGTGCTAGATCTGTTGAAAACTCGTTGAACAACATTAGAATGTCTTGAAGAAACTTCACCCTTTTCAGAAGGCGTTTTGTAGCGGCTGGAAGATTAGTAACCACTGCGCACTATCACTGACACACCGCTTGACTCCACGCCACTGACGATATCATCACCATGATTGGTAATGAAACGTTTGCAATCAAACTAATCAGCTCAGTTATGTTCTCGTCCACAGTTGAAGCAGTAGTAAAGGACTGAGCTTCACAGGCAACGTTCAATCCCAATGAGCACCATTCATTACGGAGTGAAATACTTTTTCCCTCTCGAATGCGAACATTTCTGCTGGCTAGAGGTTGCTTACCCTTCCTTTCAAGGGGTTTTCGGAACCGGAGGGCTTTACCAATAAAACGGTATTTTTGACATCACGGACTACAATCCAACGTGATCGATTCCAACAATCTGAACAGATGCTTCAAGAACTGAAATTTAAACTGATCAACCTACGAAGATGGGTTGGGTGGGAGAGGCAGCTTCAAATGCGAAGAATTCCCTAGCTTTCAGTCGATGTCTTTTCTTGTGGGAGCTACAACGGTGTAGGTAAGTCTAACTGACAGTCGCCCATAGTAGTTGGCATATTTTGCCTCAGTGACCGGTGTTATAAATTTATGTGAACAAATCTTTTAAGCAAGGAGGTAACAAAGCCCACTGACACCAAAAAAAGACCAGGCTGGATTAAGCTATGCAAGATCGAGTAAGTTCTCAAAGACTTTAAGTGAAAAATCCACGGCGTTACTACCCCACAAGAGGTTGGTTAGCACAAAAATGCTAACGTAACTGGATAAGCATTTATTTTGTTTTAATAAGCATCACGCTTTTGTGTTTTTTTTTCAAAACACATCGGGTGGCAGACCAAGGCTTGATCTTTCGAGTCATAGAATGAGCTGTTTGTCTCAGCATTGTGCAGAGCTCACCTCAAATACCAAAGTTTAAACGGAGTAGTTCAGTCTACCGATCGATTACCTCAATCGCGTAGCTATACTCCGTTAAAATGTGAGACCTAGCAACGACTGAGTTTCTAATCACCCTTGATCCCGTAACATGACACACAGGAATTTGTCACCATACAGAAGTTGAATAGTCACCTGGCGAAGGCATTTGTGCTACACAGAAAGACACACTTGGCATGAGCACTGTTCTAGTGTATTTGGGTTAAATTTGAAAGTTCTGAAGCCCAAATGATCGTGGGAATTCTGACCACCGGCAGTCACTGTGTTTGAGTCAACGTAGCACGAAACACCAAACTTATTTGATCACACCAAAAAAGCCTGCGTTGAATGAGAATGGAAGGACTGCGCCTATCGATATTTACCCGCGCAAAAATTGGGCATGTAGGGTCGCCCTCTGCCAGGATAAGCTTCAGAAATCAATGATGTAGTACATAACTCAGCTGCAAGGGTCATGAAGAACTTACATTTAAAACGGTCCGGTAGAATGCAACGGCAAAATAGTTCTAATGCACGACAGATAACACTGATCGGTCCAAGAAAATTAGTCACTTTTGAACAACAAATTTACCTGAGAAAGTGAGGTAAAAGCCTAAGAATTTAATTGCATGTTTAGGCAAATAGACAACTCGATAATTGATCGGTATGCATCCTCAGTAAATGAGTACCTGTCATCAATTAAACCAGTAAACACTAACGATACTCTGGGAAGGTAAGGCTCGTGCCATCATGCTGTACTTATTTCGGTTTTTCTTTATGAAGACAACTCATATTATCAAATCAAATCAGGATTATGGACGACAATTCACTCCAGCATGCAATAGTGCCGGAGTCGAAAATTGTATGTGAATTGGCTGAAACCGTTCTGGCCACAAATGAAAGACTATCGACTCCAAAATGTATAATCTCCCTAGAACAACTAGAAAGCACATTTTGCGATATGTTGTCATTTCTCCTAGCACCTTCAGTCAAGAACGTGAAACTTGCGGATAGTTGTAGCTTGGTCATCTGGTAGACTGCTTGATAGCCATGAGATTTTGTGGCATGATTTGACCAACAGATCTTTACGTATCACTACAACTCTCTATTTTTTATTGCATAACAAGAACTTAGAAATCTCGTGTGATCCACTTGGAAGTCTGTTTCCAAGTGAGGCATGATTATAGGATATGCAGGACCAAGGCTTAATGTCTTATCGGTGGATTGGGGTTTTCACAAACTCCTGATCAGATGTAGGTTCGACTTGGCAAAACAAGTCTGTTGATCGGTCCGTATCGCAAACCCAAATTAAACCTCGCACCGATTACCAGGCAGCCAGCTCTTCGGTCTTTAAACCAGGTCGTCCCTTCCTTTGGCATAGTCTGTGGGCCCATTTGCAGGTGTGAGGACGCTTTTACTGGTAAATCAAGAAAGCCTACATCAGAGAACGCTACCGATGGGTGTAAACTGAACCCTATCATGAGAACAACAACGCAATCCCACATCAGTATTAACAGACAGGCATTTCAGTTTCAAAATTTGTCGGATCATTTTCTACATTCCAGCAATTTGCACAAAATTGGCCTGAGTAGCTGGACGATATCAACGTCAGGCCCATTATGCGATTCTCACACAAAGCTTAGTATCGGCCCTGAGAAATCATGTGTCAAATCGCGTACGAAGCCTAACTGCTCCAGGAAGGAGGGGGCTTGTGGTTCAGGTAGACTTCTAGATTTTTATCGTACAGTCTACGTGCACTTGAACCATTCATGTCAATATCTGGCAAATCCAGTAAGCATCCAATGATGTACGTCATCAGCTTACCGCAGATTAGGACCATCGAAGGATGTTAATGATAACTGAAGCTCTTTTGAGCGAATCGTACCTGCCCTAGTGTAGAGAAGACGTATGTTTACTCTGGCATGCACCATGTGAAAATCAACCGAAAGGTGTCATCAGAACGATAGCCTGATCACTTGCATTATCCAAACCGAATGTTGCACGCCTACGGCAGTGGAATGAGTGCGGACACATGTATCTTCCCTTAGTGCTACTACGTTTTCCCGTGCACTTTTGTGCGAACACCATCTGTTACTTACCATGATTTCTGCCACCCATACATGTTCTTATCAAAACAGTTGGCAAGTCCCGTGCAGATTCAAGTACTAGTCACTCCAAATTCTCAGCGATACGAATAGGCTTTCAACAGGCCCCTAGTCTGTCCAACCCGCCTGAATATTCTTATGCAACTTGTATTTTACTGCCCCATTTCACAGCCCTTTCTCTACACGAGAGTTAGTTTAATGCATGACTTCGTTATGCCTACAATTCCATCTCAAAACGCTCTTTTGTTACAGTCCTCACTCAAAAGTTGACAGCATGATTTATTCCGAAGTGCGGATATCTTGGTGAGCTAGCTGCATGAAATTGACCGTATTGACCCTCTTTTTTCATTCGATTGTCAACTTCTGAAGAAGTTCTGTGATCCGACTATGCTTATACTTACATTGTGATAAACTGTGAGGCTCCAATTCTGAAAAAAATGTCGATATCGGAGGACACAGAGTGGAATTGAACATGGCCTCTCAAGAATCCAAAAGACAAATCTCCGAGAAACGTAATCAACTGGTGTTAATTGAGGCGTTCTCCCTTGGAGCGGGCTTTTCAGTGACAATATGAAAGTACTTTTTCAGTACCGTTTGAATCATGTTCGCTACGGTATATCGTAGATGTCCGTTATTAATCAGTTTACAAGTTCGCAATAGAGATCTTGTCACGGTGAACAAAATAATGACTATATGACTCATACGCTTCATATTTAAGGTAAGTTGCCTTCCGGTTACCCTTACAGTCTTTGTATCTCCAGAACAGCTCACAGCTATTTGGCAACACACAGGCGAGATCACCGATAAATAGCAATTAGCCAGAAAGTCATCGGAGCGACGAGCTTTACGATAAATATTTAGAGTGACTGGACAGTGGGTTTGGCAACTTAATAGTTTGCATACGAGTTATTTTATTCTTCCCGGCTAGTGAAATCAGAGATGTTGTTGGTTGCTGTCAATCTCGTTCCGTACCACACACATGCATGCGAAGGGAAGAGTCAAGGAATAGAGAAATTCGGATATCTAGGTCACACAGTGCGTAGTACTCTGAGTATCAATTGAAAATTTTCTCAAGCTGCTTGTGAAGATTTTCTTGTCGTTCCGTGGGTAGTTTTTCGGTAAACCTTGATCTGATGTCCATTCCATCGTTATTCTTCTGTCACAAGATTTCGAATGTTTTTTTCGCTCCTATCGTCACCAAGAAGGCCTTTATTCGTTTAACTACTTGCATCGTGAAAGTAGTAACCATGTTTGCTAATTTCCCAGCAGTGTCTTGCACAAGTTTCACTCCGGTTGAGGGTTAAGCAAGAAAGTGCTCAAAACGACGTCACTGCTTTGAAACCTGAAGTAGGGGATCTAGGAGAGTGCTCCAAATACTGCGTTAGCCTTGTTGTTATCCGCGGCAGGGCACTTTTGATCATCCTGAATTCGTTATTGTTTCTTATGCTATCGGTCAAACCCTTTGCTGGCATAGAGATAATAAACTGTTGGTCACCGGACGAGAAAATCCCTCAGACGAAAATAACGAAAATAAAAAGCCTGCGTTATGTATCCACCCGAAAATACGCTGTGATAGACTTACGATAAGCATCAGGGCTCTCTCGTGTGACATCCACAGGTCTACCACCAACATCTTCGGCAGCTGGTTTCTGTCTTGGTACAGAAGAGGAGGCATTGGCATCTGGGGCATAGACCTGTTAAAGGTGCCAAATTCAAGATGAAAATCAGCAGACGAATAAGAAGCAATGACGTCTTTAGAGACACTATGAGAGTGCCCAACTTACAATGGTGATCTTTCCCATTTTGAAAGTGATTTAGAAACTGGCGCCCTTCGCATAGTGCTTGGTAGGCTTAAGTAGCATTCTTAGACTAGAGTTAACTACACACATATGCGTGCAGTCACGAGGTAGAGAGAAGGACAGGTTGTAAAATGATTCAAATATTCGCTGTCGCTCTCATTAATGGTTTTACGTGATGCACACACAACAACGACTTGTGAGTCGAGTGTCGTTGTGCGCACCACTTCGTGCAACATTTTTGTGAGTGACTTAAGTTGTGTGTGCGCAGTTATGCGTGTGTTAGCGGGATCCAAAAAAGGCGCACAAAATGCGTTTAAAAAGTTGTGTGTGCGCAGTAATACGTGTGTTATCGGGATCCAAAAAAGTTGCACAAAATGCGTTTAAACAATTTACCTCGTATTCTATGTGGAGAGAGAGACATAGTATTTTCTCAGAACCCGAAAATGCAGGTAGGTGTAGATCACAAGCAACTCGAATATTCGGCGACCAAAGTTAGAAAGCTGTTAGTGTTTATGAGTGAACAGTAACTCGCAGAATCCCGTTAACTGCGAAATTAATGTGTTGCTCATTAATTCAGAGTGTAGAAACGCAAGCGCATGGTTAATCTACAGAGTTGGTGAGCACCTTTGTGCGGGTTGGCCTGCAACACCAGTGTAACACAACAATCCCTGTTACAAAAAGACCGGTCTCAGAAAAACGTCATTTCTTGTACTAAAATCTTTTCCCTAGCTACTTATATTTGATCAAGGAGCATTTGGTGGTTCAGTATGCTCGTCCAATGTGCAATGTTATGAAACTATATATTTTTATGTGATCTTATCCCGACAATCGATCTTTGAGATGAAGTGTGAAGTGACTTATCTATCCCCAGAGAATAGGTCGCCCCACATGTCGTTCACCCAGAGTGCCGTAAACCAGTGCTCAAGATTTTGGAAACATTTTGAGGAGCTTCCTTCTCTCACCCAGATCAATCAGCTCCATCTGTGTTTCTCAGGTTTGGGATTTTCCACCCAAGTGGTCACCATGATCGCGGTTTAGTGAATGTGATCTGTTTGTATTCGGCAACATTCACAAGTTCCGATTGATTAAGGAAAAGCCATCATCTATATGAACAGTACAGTAAGCGCTTCAATGGGCATCACGTTGAAAATCAATATGCCTCCTGTTACGAGTGTCTTTCTCAAGGAAATTTCATAGACTGAAGGCAAAACCTTCGAATTTCTTTTGGAAGTGTGATCATTTACATGCCAATTTGGTTTTCACGGGACAGTGGAATCTCCACTGAATCTAGCATGTGTGGTGGCTTTCAACTGAATGTGTTGCATAGAATGTTGCTGAGAACTCTCCGACTGCCCACCACCGGTTTCGCTTTCCTTGCTGCTAATCAGATGAGTGCGATCGACGAGTTTTCGTAAACCATGTGTTCAACAAGAACCTAAGGACGAAAGCGATCTTAAGCTGCAGAACAGTTAGCAGCGAAATTGTGAGTAGTTTCATCCCAAGTTGTTCTTTACGGTTGCCGTAGATTGACTACCAAGAGAAATTGAAAGACGGGAATAAGTCAGGATTTGTGCGCATCAGGGTCAGGCAGTTGTCACAGCGACTTCTCTGTGCAACAGCAAGGACTGTACAGAAGTATAATTGCTGAAATGTGGAAACACCGATGTTGTCGTCAATGACACGCATTGGTCAGCTCCTGCTTCGTGAGGTCGATAACTGGTGGAGAAGTTGAGGTCTTGCTCGACGAGCTCCCTATTCCCGTCTAGAGTAATTTTCATTTATCTTGCAAGGCATATGCCCTGGAACTCTAATAGATAGAGAACATAACCAAGATGAAATTGTCGGCAATTGCATGCTTCTACACTTTATATATCAGCTTTCCGGTACATCGCCACGTTATGTCAATCCGCCATGTCAGTTTTGGGTCGCAGGCACATTTCTTATCTCCATTCTACCGTGCTTCTTACCAGAAAAAAAGGTTCGACCTTCGATTACGTCATGCGAACATTGATATAGTCAACTTGTAGCGCGCTTTGTCCTGCCCCGGATTCACGTGACATTGCGCTAACGAAAGGTGAATCCGATTTGTTTCGGTTGTAGAATACGATAATTCTACGAACGGAATCTGATATGCATTAATATGAAACATTTATTGATTTAAGGTCTGATTTATTGTAGCTCCGCTCGGTGACTTAGGATATAACTGGATTTTCAGATTACTATACTTTAGCCATCTGTCAGCAAGGGTGTTTATAAAGATTCCCTTGGAAGATTCTGGTCGAACGAATACCAAAGCAGCGTAAATCTGGGATCCAAGTGAGTAATTAATTTCGTACTGAGGATTGGGGGTCTATCTTGGTCGGATCAAAATCTGCTTCAAGACCGCGGTAAAAAGGATTAAGAGCTATTCGGATGCAGAATTTAATGCCGTGTCGATCAGTACACCTGAAAACACTGATTCTGTCATTATTGGCTGGCACTTTCCCTGAAAATTTTGCACCGGTCAGCTCCTGGTTCGGAAGTTTTATAACCGGTGAAGAGGTTAGGGTCTCGCTCGACTAGATATGCTCTTAAATATTCCCTTGAAGGTTTCTGGTTGAACGCATGCCAGAACCGCGTAAATCTGGGACCTGTTGGCAGAATACCGTAGCAACTAGTAAGACTGCCTATAAAAGAATAGTTTCAAAAGTTTAGTTTGCATGAGTTGAGCCCCAAAAAGTGTATTCACCCAAATCGGATGGGCAAAGAGCCAGGGACTCAATTAAGACTTCAGTCTGCAACGAACGCCATAGGTTAGTTGCTTCATAAACCCAACGTGCTTTCCCAAGAGCGCCACACGGAAATCCCTGGCCCACTGGCTAAGAGTAGAACCCGTTTGAGGAAACTTTTCTAAATTCTCCATCACCAAGTTTGTATTCGGAGTTCTTTTTCCGATAGTTGTGGTCGTGATCCTGAAAACTGCATGTAACGAGGTGTTGGAAATGTTAATGGATGCGAATTTCGTTGGGACGTGCGAATTTGTCAAAGCTCACATTACGTCCGTAGTTGGTCAGTCCTGTGACAACAACCAGAGGCTAATCACCACACGGTGAACTCGCAAACTCACCAGATACGAATTCCATCAAACCACATACAAATTCCTCATAGCTGTGCAGATGTGCACTGACTTTGCGAAGCCGAGCAGCTCATGGACCACCACATACGATAGTAACATGAAGCAAAAACTAACTCCAAATCAAAGTGTGCGCTGTCTGTGTGATTGAAACACTGTTAATCTATCAAAATGTCTGTTCGAATATGAAGAATAGGACGGACGTCTGAATATACCCTGGTGCTAAAGGAGGGATGTTTTGTTATGAATCTGTCCTTTTTGTGTGGTTCAGCGTAAATTCCTTCCTACACAGCTATCTTCCCATAACTCAACAAAATATCCTGTCGCTCCAATTGATCATGTCGAGCTGATCAGATAGCTATGAAGCTCAGTCCCCATTCGTATTGATTAAATCAGCAAGTGACGCTTATTGGACTAAAGTTCAATGTGATTTGGCAGCGCAGAAGACTAACAAGGCGTTGGTTGAGGCGCTACCAGGACGTCAGAGATTTTCAGACGGAGGCTGGGTCTCCTAGAATATGTCATCTATGCTCAATGACGGCTATACAAAGAAGTGAGCGTTAGATCACGATAACTGTGCTCCATCTACTACGATGAGTACATGAACTCGCAGCTAACATTGGGTTTGAATTAGCTCAGTGTTTAGGACATAAATTTACTGAACGGAAGTTTCGTGGTTGGAACCGAACTCTTCCGTCTCAAGTGCTCCTGTTTATGCTTGGGTAACCCGGCAGCAACCCAGCCCTAGAGTCTCCTTTGGGTTTCAAGACAGCTAGGTATCAAAAGGATTTCAAGGCTGAATTATCATTTACTATGAATTACGTATGGACTGGCAGAGTGCGTTCAAACTAACTCTGAATGGTGCTACAAACACCACGGCGTAAACGTTCCCAGGAATTTTAATAAAAATGTGAATTTCCATTTGTTCTTGTGCTACGACTTTCCTGGTAGGAGACGTTCTCAGCAAGCGAGGCACCTCACACTGTTCCAGCAGCAAGGATGTCCGGTGCATGAGCTCGGTCCGTGAAAGTCTGACAACCGACGCCTTTTGCGTGCTGATGGGAGTAATAATTCGGTTGGTTCACCCCATTGGTGCATAGCTGCCATACAGCCCAAAGGAAGCACAAGGACCCAAAAGCTGCCAAGCTGCTCAAGCCTAGACAGGATCAGTCGAGATGCAGAGGTTGAGTTCGAACAACGGACCTTGCGGTTGGCGCCTTAACCACTGAGCTACCACAAGCTCGAAGGCACCACTTTAACTTGGAGTCCAACGTATCCCAGTGCGGGATTCTACTTCAAGATGGATATCGCCTTTCTGCCAGAGGTTTGTCTACCAGCATCAAGGTTCAGATTTGTCAAAATTTCAACCACTACGAAGGCCTTATCACAACCGACCAATGGACCGCTCCATACATGATGGGGTCGTGACTGATACCAAAGATCGACCACACAAAGTCCGGGATTCTTGGCGACCCTGTTCATCAAAACCATCATGATTTCATTTTTGGAATCGATTTCTGGATCGGAAGAGTGTATGAAAACAATGCGGTCCCCTGAAATTAAAGTCTATCACCCGACCTTGTGCGCCTCATCTCAAGCATTGCCCTATTCCATACGGATAGAAAAAGCACTCCCGGCTGACCAAAGAACCTCTGTTTTAGAATCGCTCTTCGAAAATGGGGATAAAATAGTGTGCAAATCTACAGCGATGCCAGCCAGATTGATCAAACTTCAGTTCCACACTTTTACTCCCATGGTGACTTTTGTTTTTCGTCGATCAAACATTTACCACTTCTGTGAATTGCAGAAGGTGCATACAGATAATAACATCTCAGTTTGACTTGAGGTTCAGATTTTCGTGCTCCGTATATGATGAGTTATTCTTGGAAAACAGTACAAACTGCCAC